CTCCTGCTCCGTCTCAGGGGCCCCAGCTCCTGCTCCGTCTCAGGGGCCCCAGCTCCTGCTCCGTCTCAGGGCCCCCAGCTCCTGCTCCGTCTCAGGGCCCCCAGCTCCTGCTCTGTCTCAGGGCCCCCAGCTCCATCTCAGGGCTCTCAACACCTGCTCCATCTCAGAGATCCCAGCTCTATTCCATCTCAGGGACTCAAGCTCTATCACCAGGGCTGTAGCTCCATCACAGGGGCCCCAGCCCCTTCTCTACCTCAGGCCCCCAGCTCCATCTTGGGTCAAAAGGTTAAAAGCAGGTGGGGTGGAGGGAGATGGAATACTTTCTTTCGATCGATGCATCCCTTCCTCCATCTCCATCCCTCCATCTTTCTCCCTGTCCATCCATATCTATCTGTCTGCCTGTCCTTCAACTCACCTCTCTCCCTCTCGCTCTCTTACACACACTGTCTCTGTCTCTCCCATTCTCTCTCTGTCTCTCTCACTGACTCTCCCTATACTAACATTCTCTTTCATTATCTCTCCCTCGGTTTCTCATTCACTTGTATCTCCCACCCCAGCTCCATCTCAGAGGCCCCAGATCCTGCTCCATCTCAGGGACACAGTGTGATTTGAGTCTTGGGTTTTAGGGGCTAAATGGAGTCCTTGAGGCCTCAGACACACCTTGGGGCTGTAGAGAGAGCAGGTGGGCGAAGGATCAAATGCAGGTTTCAAAAGGCTGAACACAGGTGGGGGAGGCAGGGGTGGTGATGGAGCTCTCTCTCCTTCTATCCATCCATCCATCCATCTCTTCCTCAAAGATCATATTTCCAGATGTCTCTGTTCTTCAATCTCTCTCTCTATCAGTCTGTCCATCTCTCTCAACCCATCTCCTCCTCTCAGTATGTCTATCTTTCACCCCATCTCTCACTCTCCCTTCGTCTCTCTCCCTCTCTTTTATCTCCACCATCTCCCTCTCTGTTGTCTTCCGCTGTCTCTCTGTCTCTCTCTCTCCCTCCATCTCGTCTGCTTCTCTCTCCTTCAATCTCTCATCATCGATCTCGCCCTCTATCCTCCTCCAACTCTGCCTCTCGCTCCATCTCATCCTCTTTCTCTCTCCACCTCCCATTGTCTTTCCCTTCATCTCTCTCTCCCCCACCCGACTTCATCTCTCTCTCTCCCCCTTCATATCTCTCTCTCTCTCTGTTTCTCCCTACACGTTTTCCTCCATCTCTCCATTCTGTCTCTCTCCTCCCCATCTTTCCCTCATTCCCTTTCTTTCTCTGCGGCTCAGCACCACTCAAACATTGTAAATGATGAACAAAATGGATGATGGCTGATGGAGTTGGTGACAGAAAAGGAGACAGACTCTAGATAAGCCAGCCTCATTTGCACCCCCCTGCCCCCCGTAGGGCTGGCAGGCTTTACAAGGTGGGGGGGGAATTGCAGGGGGGAGACAAAAAAAACACACAGCCCCAGCCCTTCCTCCCCCAACGCAGACCATTCGGGCCACCAGCCAATGGCATCTCCCCAGAGGTGCTGTCCCAGGATCTCGGTCTCTCATCACACTGCCTCACGACACAGCAGTGAGGGGGTGGGGGGAGTGTGACAAAGAGAGGGTTCGGAGTGGGGAATACACACAGGGTCAGAGGGCAAGGTTGGAGATTCAGGGACAGGGCCCTCAGGAAAAGGCCAATTGCAAGACAAGTTGGGCAAGGACAGGTCAGAAGTCACAGGTCAGAGGGGAAAGGGCATAGACTGTGTGTGGCAGCGATGTTGAGGTGATGACAGAATCAGTAGTAGGTTTCACGTTCAACCCAACCTGGAGAAAGACCACAAAACACAAAAAAAAGGTGTGGGTTAGAACACTTCATTACACTGCACTCCCCGCACGCACACACACACACACAGTCCCTCTCTCTCACACACACACACACACACACACGCAGACTCTCACCTGGGTAGAGGGTCACACACACGCGCTCACATAGACAGTCCCTCTCTCTCTCTCACACACACACACACACACAGACACACACACACACACAGACTCTCACCTGGGTACAGGCACACACACACACAGACGCAGACTCTCACCTGGGTACAGGCTCACACACACGCGCTCACATAGACAGTCCCTCTCTCTCTCTCTCTCTCACACACACACACACACACACAGACTCTCACCTGGGTACAGGCTCTCACACACACGCTCACACACGCACACACACCTTCTCTCTCACACACACACACACACAGTCCCTCTCTCTCACACACACAGACTGTCACTGCGGTACAGGCACGCGCGCACACACACACACACACACACGCAGACTCTCACCTGGGTACAGGCTCTCACACACACGCTCACACACACAGTCCCTCTCTCTCACACACACAGACTCTCACTGCGGTACAGGCACGCGCGCACACACACACACACACGCAGACTCTCATCTGGGTACAGGCTCACACACATGCGCTCACACACACACTCACTGCAGTGCAGGCTCCCACACGCACACACACACACACACACTCTCACTGGAGTACAGGCTCCCACATGCACACACACACACAGACTCTCACTGCAGTGCAGGCTCCCACACGCACACACACACACAGACTCTGGAGTACATTCTCCCACATGCACACACACACAGACTCTCACTGGAGTACAGGCTCCCACACGCGCGCGCGCACACAGACTCTCACTGGAGTACAGGCTCCCACACGCGCGCACACAGACACACACACACAGACACACACACACACAGACTCTCACTGGAGTACAGGCTCCCACATGCA